TTAGATTGTGAACTTTATCGAGATTGAGATTTAAAAAGTTGAACATATGAAGGTGTTTTCATTTATGGCACACAAAGCCATAAAGGATCTTTGAAATTCTTGCTAAAGAACACCATATATCACTTTTAAATGCTTTGCGGCTCTTTTTACTGTGTTGAAAGAGTAGCTTCAAGCAGTGCACAAGCAACGGTAGCACTTTAACAGTGAAGCTAGAACTGCAAATTTTGAAAAGTACTGAAATGAGACAAAGAATGGAAACTGCACTGACCTTATTTTATAGGACTAAATCCTATTTATAATATATATAATTCATGTAACATTGCTAAGTTACATGCAGTCACACTCTGCTGTGAAAGATAAAGCTGTAGCTACTCAGTTGTGTATTTTTGCTGATAAAATGCTTGTTGTTTGTCTCCTACCCTCCTCTGCTCTTTCTCCTGCACTGAGCTGTCCTGTGTGATTGACCGCGTCTCTTTCTCTGTGCTGGCAGTCGGAAACAGGTGCTGAGTGCTGCTGAGTGTTGCTGTGTGTGTGGGCCCCAGGGGCCTGGTTCAACATTCCACTGATAGTTTGATAGACATGGGCTTTCGGGTGGAAGAGGAAGGGCCTGCAACAACCTCGCAGAAGAGGAATCAATGGTGCTCTGTTATGATATACGTGTTTTTAAGGGGATGAGGTCATATTGTCGAGCTGAAACCCCCGTTTCCTTTTGAAGTCAGTCTCACGAACAGCCTCTTCAACACTCCACTTCCTGATTTGTAAAGTCATCTAACTTATCTCTTAGTCTGCAAACTATAATGTCTCAATCAGTTCCTTTTTTCGCACCTTTTCAAGCATTTGTACATGTCATTGCGGATATATACTGTACAATATATGTTGCACAGTGTGTTGACACGTAGTTTTGCAAATGGGCGAAAAGAGGAAGTTACAGAAAGGGGATACAGAGAGAGGCGGGGAGAATAACAAAGCGACCATATTTGGCATAAGTAGATAATGCAAGCAGAAGATGCAAATGAGATAAAGAGTGGTTGTCATGGAGACTTGATGTTGCGCAGTGATGGTTCGCTGTAAACCTGACCACATTTGTGGTATAGCCGTTGCCAAGCAGAAGGTGCTATTATGAGAGTGAGAGAGAGATCAGAGTTAGAGAAGTAGAGGAAGAGAGAACTGAAGATGTTAGTAAATCCCACAATGCATTGCAGCAGCATGACCTATGCTGAAGTGGCTTTGTCGGTCCCAGAGGCACATCAGCGTTAGACAAACACGCAGGTAAGCTCTCTGTCTGTAAGTTTTCCCTGCAGAATTGATATGATTAGGTTATTTTAACCGGTTCTAAGTGAAATTTGTTTGTAATTTCTATTTAATACTTCCAATTGGTTTGGTTGGCATTTTTAAAAAAATATTTAAACAGCAAGCTGATTGACTTACTTTCTTTTCTGCTTCACAAAGAAGGAAATGTCAGTCTCCGTTTGATGTTAACATGCAATATTTTGTTCTTTGTTCATTTGTCAAATTTGTCTCTTCAGTGGGGTGCGTGTTGAGGGTTTTAAATGGAAGGAGACTTTATATGATAAACACAGCAATACATACCCATAGGCTACATTTAGAAAATTAGATAAAAGCTAAAATGAAAAGGGCCTCTTTGCAGAGGGTGTTTCCATTCGTTTGCTCCAAGATAAGCTTAAAGCCTGAGCTCTGCACACACATACATGTGCACTGTGGTGTCAGATAGGGACAAGACAGCGTGCTATTTCCTCTCTGTGTATTTCAAAACTGACAGCTTGAATTGCACCTGCTTCCCCCACCATGTCAAAATGGAAAGAAGTTAAGAGAAAACCACAAAGTATGCAGTAGGGAAATATGACTGCAAATTTTCACAAGAGGAGGACTCTTTGTTTTGTTTTGCTTTTTCTCTGTTAAGTTGTTTAAAGTGTAGAAGTTACCTCAAGGGGGTATTTTTGCTTTGTCATTCTGCAGCCTCCAATATATACTCTTGTGAAATCGCTAATGTTAAATGCGATTTCCTGGGGTTTTTTTGTCTTTCTTAAAGACTTTATACGATTGAGTGTAATTGTTTTTTTCTGCAGTTCTTTTTCAAGGGGGGGAGGACTAAGGAATAAATGAGCTATTTGAGTTTGGCATATAGAAGCTCTGGAACATTTCCACAGAGGAGTGAGAGTTCACATCAGCCAGATACTGTCATTTACAGACAGCTGAGAAATAGCAGAGTGCTGAGATGATAGGGATGCTTAAGGTGGAAAGCTGAGTTCATCAGGGAGGAAGGAAAGGAAATAAAATGTTAGCCATTATGTTTTTTTATGTGACAGAGACAGAAGGGCCATCAAGAAAAGACTGTGTTAGCGTTGAATTGAACTGAATTTTGAAATATTAGGAATATTTTTATTATCTTCTTTTCTACTTCAGTAAATGAGGAAGATATGCAAAAGACCGATTTCTTTTCATATATTTATAAATACAAATACACATAAACTGATGTGGCAAAGGGAATTCCCAGGCATTACTTAGGCTACTTTAGAGACTTCCCTAACCGTACAGAACCACAGAAGAAACTATACAAGTGTTTTTATAGGCTGAGTATACTCCCCATGAGTAACTTGATGAACTTAGAGTGTAAAAGTGGTGGAATTCCCCTTCAAGCACATTGAATACACTCTCTCAAGCGTGTGCGCGCACACATACACACACACACCTCTTCCTGTTTTCGGTTTGTACCATAAGTATGTGTGTTAACAGTTTGCTCGACCTCAGTGTGTTTATTCTTGTTGCTTTTTGCGCATCCTTTCGCAGCTCTACAGCTTCACTGATCTAGAGAGCACAACATCTCTGTGAGATACGAGGCATGTGCAGAAAGAAGGCAAATCATTCGGCCGGTGTGACACGAAAAGAAATATGAACTATAAAAGTAGAAGTAAGCTCCTGTTGTGCCCTCGATCAGAATGAAACTTGTCAGAAGCAATGAGCGAACATTTGGTAACCGCACAATTTGGCTCTGCACTCGTACTTGAAGTTGGTGAGAGGAGTATGATCGAGGGGATTATTACGAATTGACAAGCACTTATAAAGCCTTTAAGGCAAGTTTAGGGGAATTAAGATGCATTCATAAGTGAGATAAAGCTATGAAAAGACAGATTTAGCGATATCATAAAGAAGAGAAATATGAAAAGGATGCACACAGTGTAAACTGAACTGCAGTAGAAGAGGGGAAATTCCACATTAGTGTCTGAGTTTCGCAGAGAGCCCAGATCTTTGGAGGCGTTGCTAATATGTCTCCTATTGAGCCAGATCATCAATCACTGTGTTTCTTTATTATGGGTCAACGAAAGCTTAGTGCCGTCAAACAGATTGGCCTTCTAATCTAAAAGACAAGTCTAGCAGGGTTGTTTCCATGCTTGGAAATAGATCCTTCCTTCACTAATGAATGACTGCTGGAAATAGATCAAGGCATGCACGTTACTGTTGTAGTTAATAACGCCACTGTCGATCAGAACTTGCATTAATGCTTTCAGTTCTTTTGTCTGCGGTGCGCACTGTGTTTTTGCTCTCTCTGAGTTTACCAACACATTGCAGAAGTGTTTATGGCTATAGGTAAAGGGTTAGCCGTGCTGCAGGGGCTCAGCCACAGATTGTCACCCTGGGTTTACAGTGCTGCTGTGTAAATTGGAGATGACTTATCACCAGCTTTGTATTAAACAGAGCTGTGCAGCCATTGAAACAAGTCCAGCAAGATAGCAAGGCTAGGAACAGAGAGACAGTGGAGGTGTGACAGTTTTATATAGGAGAGGCAATGGTTTAAGCAGTCTTTCGTGTACGTATAGGCAAATACGCCAAAGAAAGAATGGACCCTTACATCTCCAAGTGAATATGTGTGAGCTCAGTTAATTTTCATTCAGCGCTATGCAGCATTAACATGCTTTGTATATGAAAACACATTGCAAAGATATTTTGGATGTAGGGATGCATTTTCCCTGTGATGGCAATCAAATGAAAGTGAGTCACAGACAATATGCACGAACTGGTCGCAAAACTTGGCGTCAGCACACGCTCGAAATTTGCAAGGATTCCTGCAGACGCCAGGGCCACTATCTCCATAGCTACCGGATATTGCAGAATCGGGTCCAAATCAAATTCTTGGAGGCTTCTATTGGATGCATGGGTTGCAGCAGCAGAAGCCTGGTGTCAACAACAATACAGGCGAGTTGGCAGGAACAGCCGCCTCTGTGTTTTCTGAGTTATCCTTTTTCTTAATATGTTGCTGACCTGCAACCAAACTGCCCTGGTCTGCATCTTTTTTTTAAATAAGTAATTTTAAAACTATAATCACTTATTGCAGTTTCACTTTGTAGTGCTTTTATAATGTGGGCAGGAGCTAGTGTGAGCTAAGGGTTGCATGCCAAGGATGGAAAGCAGTATGAAAGTGAGAGAGAGGATCTGGACAGAAGCCAGGCCAAATCTGATGCAAAAACCCATCATAACTGTTGGGTCTTTCCATAACTGTTTCCTCCACACCCCATATTCTATTCATTCTTTCCAATTGCTATTTATTCCTTTTCTTCCTGACCTCATTAAGACCCTTCCTTCACCCATTCTTTTCCTTTCTGGTTGTATTTAACATCACTCTCATGACTTTTACTTCTAAAGTCCTCGCTGTGCATGACCTTTCCTCACTGGTATGTTTATCCTGTTACTAATGTTCATCTTTTCTTGTTGCTGGGTTTTCCCAATCTTTCCTTCCTGCCTCTTCCCTCTCTCCTACCTCAGCCTCACTGAATAGGCAAGGACAGTGCTGCTGTAACTGAGCCAGCACTTCCTGGTGTTTTTGGAGGGGGGGGCGTGGCCAGCTTCAGTGGGAAAGAAAAGGAGGGAGAGGGAACTGCAGGATCTGTATGCCCAGTGCAGTCCGGTCTCCCTCCCTCCTCCTCTTCGTCGTCATCCTCCTCCTCCTCCACAGCTGTTGCCACTGCCGCCCAGTGAGCACTACTTTCCTGCAGCAGACAGATGATCCAGAGGCAGGGGAGTCAGTAAAGACACAGCCCAGCCCCGTCTCAGCACAGCTCTGCACAACCCAGCTTAGCCACTTGGAGAGGCAGGGGAGGGGAGACACTAGCGCACACAGCCAACGCTGCAACGCATACACACACAACCGCACAGACAAACACTCCTCCTCTCTCTCTCTTGCTTTCTCCCTATCCGCTCTCCCTCACTCTGGGTGCTCGGCTCCGCGCACAGCTCCTTTACTCATTCGCTGCTGATTCACTCGCTCACTCGCTTGCCTCCTCTTCTGCCAGTCGCTCTGCCTTGCTGTGTTCTGCCTGCCTGCCTGAGAATGGTCCAGCCGGTGCCTGGGGGTCTGCTGTCGCGGCCTGTCTGAATACACGCATAAACATACAGAGCCAGTCGACACGCGGAAGCACGCACACACAAACTGGAGGGCAATGTGAGAGGTAAGAGCTTGGTTCATAACCCTCCTCCCTGCCTCACTGGTGTATCTAGATCTTTCCTCCTGTGTGTGTGTGTGTGTGTGTGTGTGTGTGTGTGTGTGTGTGTGTGTGTGTGTGTGTGTGTG